TATATATATATATATATATATATATATAAGAGATTAAATTAATGATCATCACAATTAAATAAATAATGCTGATAACAAAATAATACTGAATAATTGAGACAATTATTTTGTGTTATTTAATTTGTCATTAAGGAGTCATTCTATAATTAGGGGTACATGTCATGTCCATGGACTCTATTAGCAATTTTACACATTTTTCACTAACTTTTCACTTCAAACAATGATCACTTTTATATCAGGGGACATTTCGAATTCATTTAATACAAAAATCCAACAGATATCCATCTTTTATCTTGCAAAAATGGCATATTCTATACTGGAATTTGCTGTTTTTGTGCTGTCCGATTTGGTAAATGTGAGGTTTTGCTCTTCAGATTAGCTCTAAAATGCATGTTTCTGTATATATTTCTTATAAATATTTGTCCAAAATAATCATTAAATTATGAGAAAGGTGTTTTAAAAAATATTTTGCTCATGCATCTACATTAAATCATCCATTTTGTGTATGTCCGAAAAAATCAGTGTCAACTGTGTTACTCCCTATAAAACCCCCTATAAATCAGCAATGGTTTGTTCCAAAGTCACATGTCCAACACCACGTGATGTATTTTCCTTTTTTTGAGGGAAATTTGAAGACGGTGTGGAAAGTCATAACTTCTTTTCAATATTTTATCTAGATTATTGTCTGCACATAGAGTAGACTACTTGACCGTCAACTGTGTTATCAACATGTTCTGGTGAACTTACTACCTAACTACCTAACTTAACCCCTACTAACTATTCCAAGGTCAGCAGTTTGCACAAGGCCCTAAAATGGCTGAAATGTCAACTGTGTTACCCGTCAACTGTGTTACCCATCAACTGTAACACAGTTGACAAGGAATAACATGGTTGACAATGTTGGCAATTCAGTGTCAATTTATGCTCCCACTGAGTGTTGTTGATAAAAATAAATGTTTACACACTATTTTCATTACACAGAAATTACATAGGAATTGCCTAAAACCATGGAAAACAATGGATAAACTTAACTGATCCAATCATGGCCACACTTTCTATGAACTCCGTATCCATAATATTATATACACATTATATTCACATTTGTCAAGGGTTAAAAAGCATTCAGAATTCCTCATGATTGACATAAACCTATATAATATTATAGATTTGGCATATATCTATTTCTGCTTAGTCATGACTGATAAAGTGTTATGATGTTACTGTATAAGTCCTTACAACTTGAAGTGTCATGATGCATTATAAAACTTAATTTACTTTTATAATAATATAATATATTCATTAACGTTATAATATATATTATTATAATGTGTGTGTTTAAAACGCTTTATGGATACTAAGTTCATTCTTACCTGTCAACTGTGTTACTTTGTCAACTGTGTTATGTGTGGTTTTTATGTTATAAATCTTTTCAAACTAATCTGTCAGAAAAAAAGATGGGGATATCTCTGGGGATGGATGACTTTGGTAAGGATGGTGAATAAGACTAAATTCAGCATACTGTGGATTTATGTTGAAGAAAAGTTTCATCCTTCATGATAGCGTCCCCATTATGAAGCCCCAAATTCATATTTTCAAATCAGTTAGACAAATATTATTAAAATATTATGTTAAATATTAACATATTTAAATAGTCATTAGAGCTTAAACCTGCCAAACAATTAATTAAGCAAATTAAGGGGATATATTATTCAACCACCTAAATGGGGGGTGCCCTTTTTCAGTTTCAGCACATGTCCCTCAAAAGGTCTGTGCACAGCCCTGCCTCTGGCTGGCACCCCTGCACTGCAGAGGATTCATTGGTGAGCAAGTTATGTAATGCTAAATTTCTCCAAATCTGTTCTGATCCATATCCTGAGGGAAAGTAAATTTTCAGCAAATGTTCATTTTGGGGTTCTTTTAAGATCCTACATGTTCCGTGTTTTGTTGTACAGATTGACCACTAGGGGGAAGCGCTTCATCATTAAACCCTTTCTGCCCTTGATTCCAAGATATTAGCAGTTGCAGGATTGTAGAATTCCCAAATTGACAGTTTGTTGGGGATTTTTAGCCACATTTGCTTTAATAATAAAAAAAAAAAAAACAGCAAAATGTATGTTTTCATTAGTGAACAAATGCCACATAGTGACTTTTCCCCTCATACTAACTGTAAATGATCTGTGGGATGGGCAAATATGCATACTATCATGAAATGGGCATCTAAATCTTTGTTAAATCACCATCATCTTGTTTAAATACCAAGCGATTCATTGTTATTTGTGTGTCTTACTCACAGTTGGGTAATGCGGTGCTTCATACGTGTCACTGTGTCCCTCCTTTTTCACAAGTTCATTTCATCAGTTTGCTAGAAAGTGTGTAGTGATTTTAATGTGTGAATCACCATGGTAACTGAACCAAGTTATGTATCATGCATTTACAAGTGACTGTTTATCGATAAAAGTTGAATAGGCTTTTAGTAAAAATGACCTTGCAGTTCTGGGACAGAGTCCAAAATGGAACTGGAATAAAGAAACAAAGTCTTCTAAAGGTTTCTCTCTTTGCCAAATGAAAGATATTGCACTGACCTTCCATCGAATAATGGTACGAGCAACTAAAACAAGCCTGAATTTACAGGAAGACATTCTCTCTATGGCTGCTATTCAAGCAGGAGTTAAATGCATTGATGCGTATCAAATAAAGGATGATCTAATCGGGTCTTCAGTTTCTGACACTGTTCATTGTGCTGCCAGTTTTATAATGGCTCTAAGCCCGGTGGCTTTGGCATAATTACAATAATTGGTGAATCATTTTTAGGTATGCTAAGAATTATACTAGATCATGTTAGATGTTTACACCCCTCTGATGGTTCACGCAGACTGAATGTTTTTCATCAGCTGAAGATGTGATGAGACGAGCCCTCAGCCTTTCAGAGGTATGACTGCATTAGCTTCAGTGAATGCACTCGTCTCCTGTTTCTAATGTAACAGCCCATTCTTCCTCTTTCCTCCTCCAACTGCCTCATAATTACAATCTTACTCATAGTTTTTTCCTCCCACACAAAAAAAACAAGTGATTTTTCCTTTTCCTAGTTATTGTTTTTTTAATAATGCATTTTTTCTTTCTTTTTATTTTTTTTATAAAAATGTCATGTCACCCTCACAAAGCTATACCTTAAATGAAACTTTTGACAATATTTACTTTAGTGTTATTTTCGTATCATTGAGATACTATTGTAGTTTTAGTAGTATATAAATATGTATTTCATAGATAATATTTTGAATTCATTTTTATTTTGTTAATTTCTTAAATTATTTAGTTATTTTTGTTTTTAGTTTTTATAATTGTTAATTTAAGTTTTGGCAATTTTTGTGTTTTGCCATTTTTATTAGTAACCGTTTTTATGTCTATATATTTTTATACATTTTTTATTTAAGTTTTAGTTTAAGTTATTTTAATAAAATGAGAAAATGTTGGTTAGACAACTAGCTAAATTAAAATACTTTTCATAATTATTTTATTTCAGTTAATGTTTATTTTATTTCAAGCAACAAAAAAAAAGTCCCCCCCCCATAATTTTAGCTTGTTTATTTATAATAATCCTGATTTACTCACCGTCATATCTCATATCATTCCAAACCTTTATGTTGAACACAAAAGAGATGCATTCATTCATTCATTTGTTCGTTCATTCATTTGTTCATTCATTCCATACAATGAAAGTCAAAAGACTTCCAGTCTTGATTTGGACCCCACTGACTTTCATTGCAAGAACAAAACAGTTTAAACATTCTTCAGAATATTTTATTCTCACAGAATAAAGAAAGCCATACATGTTTGGAATACAGTAAAGGTGAGTAAACGATGTCAGAGTTTTTTTTTTAAATGTTTATTTCTTTATTTTTTGGCAAACTATCCCCCTTTGAACCCCCTGTATGGTTGTTAACCTGTTAAAATAAATAATTATATAGTGCTAAACCATTGAATGTCCCACACAAATACATTTTACAAGGGCTCAAGTTGAAAGTCAGCACAGAATGGGATCAAAGGATGCAAAATGTCATGAATTATTAATATGGATTCCTCCTGAAACTGCATTTGAATGTCCAGTGCTAATGCATAAGCATACTAAAACCCTCGCGTGAGGGCTTTGTTTCATTGTGCACTGCTAAGTTGCAGAGGTTAAAATGATAGTAATTTTTACAAAAGAAAGAAAAAATGTAGCATCTCAAGCTCCTAAACACTTTCTAAAGTGGATTGATCCATGCAGCAGACCCCTCTGCCCCTTCTCATCTCTGATGTGATATGCGGCTATCAATACACACATCTCTCATCTTCAGTTTCTCATAGAACTGCTGGGACGCGGCCATTCCAGTTCTCCAGTGACACGATGATACCCATATCGAATTTGTCCTGCACGTCTCTGCTAATGGTATCGACATCGGGGTGAGAAAGGGAATCTGAATGAAGAATAGGCCCTGGCAGCTCTGTACAGAAAATGGACCATGAATTAGACTCAACTGGGACATAAAAAAAAACAGACCTCAAATGTACTGGAGGACACTTCTCCCACTCTTCTCCCAATTACCATTATAATATGTCAATAATCAACCAAATTCCAATCTCGCAAATAATGCACAGAGAGCAGAATTAGGATTAAATCCATTAATTATCAAAACACAAAATGCATCATACCAGCCTTTTGCAATACCACAATGGACAGACACAGGAGACGCAAGAAAAAAAGTGTCCACACTGAAGTCAAGAGCTGTGTTTGTTTGCAGAATGCATGAAAAAGATGCAAAAAACAAACAAACAAAAAAACAATTGCATGTAAAACAATGAAACCCCTCTTCTGATGAAGAAAATACAAAGATTGTGTGTCTTTGCCTTTATCACTAAACTTTTGCCCATAATTTTGCTATTGCTCCAACTTGATGCATTTATACTTATATTTAATATTTTATTTTTGATATAATATATTATAATTAAATATTAATGATTAATTATTGTTACTTTTAGTTTTTAGACGTGTTTGCTACTTTTACTTTCCTTAATTGTTACTTAATATTATTATGTTAACTATTATAACTATTATTTGAAGTACATGTATTTATTTATTTTATCACTTGGAAGTACATATTTATTCATTTAATTGTATTTTTTTTTATTTTATTTACATTTGGAAGTACATTTATCTGTAAACCTGAACTGAAATGTATATCAATAGGCAAACGCATGTTTACTCAACAGGTGGGACTTCAATAGTGTGTAAAAAAGGAACCGCGGGGATTTTGCACGACTAAATGTAAACGGCCAGTGGATCTGATTGGCTCCGCGTCCAGCTGACGTCACGACTTTCCAATGTAGCGGAAGCTGAAAGTTTTTTCAGTTGTAAACTGATCGGTGGTGTGAGTGAGTGAGTGAGTGAGTGGATATGCGCGAAAGAGAAAATGAACAGTCGCTACTTCACAACAGGCGTTTGAGACCGTGAACCCAAGCTGTTTTAGCTGGAACGAGAGGACCAAGGACCTTTTCCCCCCACCCTGCTTTGACAATGTGGGAACAGGCGGAATTTGAGAAGCACTGGAGGAACGAGTTTCCCGAAGGTGAAGTGCCCGTGATGAACCTCAGCTCGGTGGAGGACATAGAGGCAGAGCTGGAGAAATGCAAAGCCAATCTGAAGGTGTTACAGCAGGCTCTGTCGGAAGAGAAGTTCAAGGTGATTTACCTGCAGACCACCATTGCGCAGAAGAAAACTTATGACATCGAGAGATGGTGTAACAAGGCAGATTCAAATCAGGACAGTCCTTGCGACTCAGAGAGCAAAGGCGGGGACGTACTCCGGGGCAGCAAGACAGGTAAGCCCATCCTCGTCCCTCCTCGGAAAAAGACCGATATTCCGCAAAGACTCCCCTCGGCTCGTGACATCTCTCGGTGCGTTGCCGAGCAACGGAACAGCGAGCAGGACAGTGACCGCGAGTTCGAGGACGTGGAGCTCAACGAAAACTTTCTGCGAAAAAACATCCTCAACCCAAAAGGTAACGTTCGGGACAGTCACCGGCTGAATCCTCGCATTCGCTTGAGTCGGGATCTGGACTCGGATGATGGCAGACTGTCCCCTTCTCTCGCGCTCCGCGGCTCTCACGGGTCTGGACGCAGCACACCTGACGGATACCTGAGCTCCGACCATGACGACTCCTCCTCTGCAGGTAGGACAAACTTAACTAAAAACTCCTACCATACCAGTTTCTTATCACCTTCAAAGCGCCAGTTAAGTTCCCTTCAGGAGGAATGTGGGCTGACACTGTTGATCACTTATCAAATACGCAATTATGCTTGCTATGTCACATGTTAGTCTGTTGAAGTGCATTTTGGGAATGTGTGTCACAGGACGTTGCTTAAAGGAATAGGCTAGTTCGCCCAAAAATGAACATTTACTGAAAATATACTCATTATCCGGCCATCCAAGATGTTTATAAGTTTGTTTCTTCATAGAAACAGATTTGGAGAAATGTAGCATTACATCACTTGCTCACCAATGGATCCTCTACAGTGGATGGGTGCCGTCAGATTGAAAGTCCAAACAGCTGATAAAAACATCACAATCATCTACATGACTCTAGTCCATCAGTTAATGTCAAAGCGAAAAGCTGCGTGTTTGTAATAAAAATATGAATAATTAAGACATTTAATTTCAAACTGTTGCTTCTGTCTAAAAAACAATTGCTGTAAACGATCATTTGGTGAGCAAGTGATGGAATCCAAAATTTCTCAAAATCTACATCTTGGATGGCCTGAGGGGGTGTGTAAAATTTTTAGCAATTTTTTTTTTTTGGGGTGAACTGTTCCTTTAATGAACAGTCAATGGATCTTTCTTAAACCAGTGAGGAAATTGGATAACCCGGAGTGGAGTGGAGATGTGATTATAGAAAGCTTTGAGTAAAGAGGGGGGGGAATCTTTAGCTGCATTGGAAATCTAATACTTCCCTACTATATAGTAAGCGTAAAACTGAGAGTAGTATGTCCGAATTCATAGTAATTGTAAAACAGTTGTCGAAATGTACCTGGATGGCTTACTACTTCTGGTGAGATGTTTTGGGTGATTTTGAAACTGTTTTCATTGGTGGAGAAAAATGTATACAAACTAAATGGCCAAATATTGTCTGAAACGTTACTTGATATTTATTTGTGGTTTATAGAACAGTTCTATAAAACTAAAACATCACACATGCTATCATACGGTTTATTTCAGTTGTATAAATATACACAAACAGTTAAAAATGAAGCAAAAAAAAAAAAAAAGTATTTGGAGACTTCTGGCTATCAGACGGATCCTTTTCTTCATTTGTTGTCCATACTGTCAACTGCAGTACACAAGTTTTTCTCTTCTGACAGTTTTATCAGTTAAATGCTGAATGCATCAAAACATGTCCATAATTTGCTCTCACAACACCACTGTGACACAGATAGGAGCTTTATCCGATTTGACACTCTTTTAAAAACCCCCACAATGACTCTAAAACAGGAAAGAGGAAGAGGCACCAAATCTGATGGAACCCGCACGTGTTGCTCTAAGAGACATAATCACATGTTACCACTGTCTTTGACCCATCTGCGTAAAAGTTCATGCATAAATTTTATGATGATCAAAGGCCGGATTCCAACCCCAAACTTTATATCTACTTAAAAGTAAACGTTTAGGGAAGTATATTTGGGCAGGGGTGTGACAAATATACAATAAATTGATTGATTGTTGTGCTGGGTGACATTGTGCAAACATTAACAAAAGCATTCTTAAATGAAATGAAATCTATACAATTCTTGCCAAAATGCAGTCTGATTGGATGCACAGCCTTAGATGTCAACAACAAAAATCTTTGTATTTATTTAGCCATTATAACTATTAGTTAGTTTCTTTTTTTATTTGCATTTTACATTATTTTTCCTCAGCTCTCTATAACCAGAACTGCAACCCTTTTCTGCATTATAAACCTCTGCCTTTGAGTGTTCATTCTTAAGTGGATTGATAAGAAGCATCCTGGCAAACAGTTTAGTTTCCACAGTATTGCTGATATTGTGGTACAATGGAAACATAACAGCTCCATATCTGTTTAGTGTCAGTTGACTTGTCTGGACTGTCTATGAAGTTAGCATGCACATTACTTGCTCTGTTAGACTTCATCTGTGACAGTTTGATGGACTGATCCGGTTCATTTAATATGGGATAATCAGGGATTGGGGTTGATTGTGTTGCAGTGGGTTGGAAGGCAAAGAACATCTGGGCCTCTGGAAATGATGTGTGGGTGTGGAAGCGAGAGAGAGAGAGAGAGATGAAGATAAACGCCTAGGAAGTATTAGAGAAGCACTGACCATATCCATATCATGTTCATCTCCATCAAGGGTATAAGTTTGGTTTTACAATGTGACGGGAAATTTTAAAATGCAACGATAATGCATGTTTGTCCTACACATTAAAAATGGCCTTTTATAGCTGGTTGTTCGTGTTTAGAAACAGTATTTATATATTTATATTTCACATCAGTTTGTACACAGAATGTCATATGTCATAATTTAATGTATACATTTGTATAAGATCTTAAAGTTTTTAAACATATTTTTCAAGATAAAAACTGTATTTTTTGGCAAAGATCATTATTTTATAAATGTCATTACGTTTTCGAGAAGTCGCACCACATTACATTCTACAACCTGAACTTACCTTGCCTATATTATCTGATATTTTAAGAAACATATTGATCTTGTTGCACATGATTGGTTGACGTGTCGGTTGGACTACATGACTACATGACTTTATTGGTTGCACCACATGACAGTTGTAATGAGCAGTGAAGCAGTTTTGTAAAAAAAATCTCTCTTTTTTTTTTTTTTACAAGAAGAGAACACTAATGATTATTTGGTCATGTATATTTTTACTAATTCTCTTTACTCAGCAGTAGGGATATGCCGGTATCAAATTTTCATGTTGCGATTAATTGCTAATGCTTTTATCACTGCACACGCGTCTTTCACGCAGCATACAGCGGTGTGCATTTTGACCAGGTTGATGGGAAAAGTATTCTTAAAATGCATTCAAAATTCTGAATAACTTGTAATATATAATTATTCACGGTATTTAGAAGAGCCCACGATAACAATATCGTGCATATGCATTACCGTGATATACCGCATTACCGAATACCGGCACAAGTCTACTCAGCAGTGGCACTTTTTATACAGTGAATCTTTGGTTTGGGAGGTAGTACCTATCTTTTTCCAGTTGTGTAGCTACTAAATGTTCTCTGACTTCCTGTCAGTTTTACATTAACCATGTAGTTAACAAATGTGGGTGAATACAGCTGTTTAAAGGGAAATACAGTTTTATAGAGTCCATTGTTGGCCATGTGAAAATCATGGCATCAGCCACTAAAATTTAGTGAAGCAGTTTTACCTTTTGAAACTAATGTCTCTAGCCAATGCTTTGAAACTGTTTGAGTTTATAATTAGCCTCAGCCTCACTACAGCAATTGGTTTAAATGCATCTTCTGACCTAATTATCAGTCAATTTATATAAAGCCTTGAAGGCTTTGAAAAGGCTCTATGAAGTTTCAGTTTTAAATGAGATCAGGTTAATTCTGTAGTTTTTTTATGTCTCAAGTATCTTTTTTTTTTCTTTCTTTTTTATGTAATGACTCAATTATAGAGTAGTCAAGACTCTTACAACAATGTCTAGTTGTCGTAAGCTCCAACAACTTAGTCAAAAGTTTGTTTGCACTGCTGCCTGGGCAGGATGCAGCTAGATCAAACATGAAAATGACCAAAAATATATGTGGCTCGGATGCAGCACCTTCACCATCTGTTAGATTTCCTCTGTGATGTTTCACTTTCAAGGTCTCTCTAGCTCCTCATCTGCAGCAAGACCGGTGCCTGCCTCACAAATTTACATACTTTATATATTTATAGATATTATTAGCATGAAGCTCAGCACATCGCCCTTTTGGTGCACATTTGCATAGGCTCATGATAGTGTACACACTAAAAAATGCTGGGTTATTTCAACCCAACTTTGGGTCAAATTTGGACTAACCCAACTTTTGGGTTAAAAATTGAATGTAAAAATTTAACCCAACGGTTGGGTTAGTCCATATTTGACCCAAAGTTGGGTTGAAACAACCCAGCATTTTTTAGAGTGTAGTAGCAATACCTGAGTTTGACCTGAGATTGATTCCATGTTTAAGGTCCTTTTCCGATCCCTTATTAATTATCCCCTCATTATTTTATCCCAATAAAGGTATAAATGCCCCTAAAGCTTGTAGAAAATTAATGTTTTTTTAACCCTTGTGCTATGCTGAAAATCCAAATTTGTTATTTCCGGTCAAAAATGACCAGCCTTTTAAAAAGTGCTTGTAAATCTCTATTATGCAATATTATCACCAAATCTTGGATTATTTTTTTTCATCAGTTTCCTTTCAACTACAACAGGTTTGGTATTTCTTTTGGGAACTGATTGATAATAGGTCTCATTAATCTGAGCCTGTGCACCACAGTTTTTGAGTGGGAAAAAAAACTTTATGGATAATTTTGGCAATGTTCACTCAAAAACTGAGGTCAATGGGGCCTACTATCAATTAGTTCTAAAAAGAAATACAAAACCTCTGTCTATTTAAAACAAGTTAAAAGATTGAATCCAATATTTGGTAATTATATAGAATAATACAAAATTTACAAGCAATTTTTCGTAGGTCAGCCATTTTTGAAGTGTAAGGTGGGGAAAACAAATCCAAAAAGTACAAAAATTATCACAGTTTTTTAGGAAGTTCTTATACCTTGTTTGAGCAGAGTCAATAAGTTTTAGTCCAATGTGATAACATTAACATTTTGGGAAAAAGAAAATCATCTCAGGGTCAAAATGACTGGAACACAACATGAGGGTTAAGGGAGTTGTGTAACAAGGATGTAAAACAGTAAAGCCTGTTTTAGTCTGTGTTGTAAATATTCCTGAGTGAAATACATGATTTTTCCTTGATTTTCTCTGTCATGCTTTCCATATGAGAAATGTTTTGCCTGTTGAGGCATGTTTCTACAGAACTGGTTAGCGAAGAGAATACTCTGCACTGCCTGCCAAGCTTGTGCATGAACTGTGTGTGTGTGTGTGTGTGTGTGTGTGTGTGTGTGTGTGTGTGTGTGAGAGAGAGAGAGAGAGAGGGAAAAA